TCAGTATGCCGCGCAACAGCTCAACCTTCAGCCCCGGGTCTACTTGCCAGAGACCTCCCCCGCCTTGCGGTGGACCGGGAAGGTTGGCGATGCGTCTGCGTTTTGGGTCTGGGGATCTCGGGCGTTTGTCCGCGACTTGTCTGCGGACAAGCTGTCCCCCCGTGCTGTTCCCTGCGTCTTCCTTGGCTTCCCCCCTGACGCGCCTCGGTGGCAGTTTTACCACCCCACCTCGCGCCGTGTTCTGTCCTCCCAGGACGTCACCTTTGATGAGTCGGTGTCTTACTACCGTCTCTTCCCCTATGGCACTGCGCCCCTCCCCCCGCCGCCGCTCTTCCTTGCGCCAGGTGCTACGCATGTAGACCCCCTCCCCCCTCAGGGTCCTGCCCCGTCAGGTGTGTCCCAGATAGACGCAGTCGAGCCTGTCAAGGTAGCTGCTGACTCTGGTGCTGCTAGCGGTGCTGAGCCTGCGGGTGCCGGGTCTGGGGGTGCTGAGTCTGGGGGTGCTGAGACTGGGGGTGCTGAGCCTGGGGGTGCTGAGACAGGGGGTGCTCAGCCTGGGGATGCTGCGCCTGGAGGTGCTGAGCGTGGGTGTGCGGAGCCTAGGGGTGCTGGGTCTGCTCGTGTGGCCGCCGGCGGTGCTTCGTCGAGGCGGAAGCTGCTCTCTCCACAGGAGCTGCGCGAGTGGTTCGCCCGCCGTTGGAGACCTGCTGCTGAGTCTGGGGGTACTGCAAGAGTTACTGGAGTTGGTCGTGCTGGAGCTGCTGTCGGTGCTGGTGCTGCTGGAGGCTGAGCTGCTGGGGGTTTTGGCGCTGGTGTTTCTACTGGTGCTGGTGCGTCTGTGGGTGCTGCTGAGGCTGCTGGTGCTGACGGTCCTACAGGAGTTGGTTCTGTTGGAGCTCGAGCTGCTGGGGGTGTTGGCGCTGGTGCTTCTGACGGTGCTGGAGTTGGCGCTATTGGAGCTGGAGGTGCTGCCGTTGGGGGTACTCGTGCTGTCCTTGCTAGTTCTGGAGGCGCTGCGCGGCCGAGGCCGTACTTCGTTCCGCTCCTCGAGCAAGTTCTTGGTCTCCTGCCCTCTACTGGTCCTACTCCTCCCTTAGGTGTCCACCGCCTGTCTAGTCATAGTCACAGTTACAGCCCGCCTCCCCTCTAACTGCTCCTTCTCCCTACACTGGTTCTACTGAGCGTCGTGAGCCTGCGTCTCGTCCTGCGTCGTCTGTTCGTGCTGCTCGCACTAGTGGTTGTACTTCACGTCCGCGTCCTCCTGCGGTCCCCGACACACACCAGATGGCACTGCGTCCTTCCACTGCTCCTCTGCGTGTCCCGTTGCCGTCTCCTTCAGAGTCCTCTCTTCCTTCTCTTGCTGACACGAAGTCTGACTCCCTTCGTGCTGCTAGTCCTTCGGTCATGCGCCTTCTTGCTACTATCGTCATTGACCCTTCCTTTGAGTCCACTGCTGCATCTGCTCTAGTTGCTGAGCTTGTTGACTTCGCTGCTCGCTGTCGTCTAGACTACGCTGCCAGTCTCGTTGCTGAGTCTGAGTCTGTCTGTCCTCCGTCCGTCGGGGGTGAGTGTGCTCTTAGCACGGACGTCCTTGAGGACAGGGAGGAGGAGTTCCAGTGCTTTGCGGCTGCTTTGCCCCATCTCGTGTCCACACTGATTGCCCCTGAGGGAGACCCGGATGCACCAGACATCCCGACTCCTCGATCGTACGCTGAGGCGATCGAGGGTCCCTACTCATCTCAGTGGCAGTCGGCCATGAACGCAAAGATGGCTTCCTGGAAGTCCACAGGCACCTACGTCGACGAGGTTCCCCCACCTGGGGCGAACATCGTCAGTGGCATGTGGATTTTCACAGGGAGTTGACTACTTTCAGACCTTCTCTCCCACCGCGAAGATGACCACTCTTTGGGTGCTGCTGCACATAGCCGCTCAGCGCGACTACGAGCTTCACTCTCTTGACTTCAGCACTGCTTTCGTGCAGGGCAGCCTGCACGAGGAGATCTGGCTGCGCCGCCCTCCTGGCTTCACTGGGTCGTTTCCTCCTGGTACCCAGTGGAGCCTCTGGTGGCCAGTCTACGGTCTCCGCCAGGCGCCCCGTTAGTGGCACGACACACTGAGGACTACACTTGCGGCTCTTGGGTTTGCTCCTTCTACAGCCAACCCGTCGCTGTTTCTGCGCACCGACACCTCTCTGCCGTCGTTCTACATCCTCGTGTACGTCGACGACTTGGTCTTTACCACTGCTAACACTGCTGGACTCGCCCACGTGAAGTTGGAGCTGCAGAAGAGACACACGTGCACAGACCTGGGTGAATTGCGCAGCTACCTTGGCTTGCAGATCACCCGGGAAAGAGCACAGCGCACCATTACCCTGAATCAGTCACACATGGTGCAGCAGGTCCTTCAGCGCTTCGGCTTCACGTACTCCTCGCCTCAGGCCACTCCTCTGTCTACTCGCCACTCGCTCCCAGCTCTGCCTTCGGATGAGTCCGTAGAGTCGAGCGGCCCGTACCCAGAGCTTGTTGGCTGCCTCATGTACCTGATGACCTGCACACGACCTGACCTTGCATACCCTCTTAGCATCTTGGCACGCTCTGTTGCTCCTGGGAGACACCGACCAGAGCACATGGCTTCAGCGAAGAGGGTGTAGCGCTACGTGTGCAGTACGTCGCGCATGGGGCTAGAGCTTGGAGGGCGACGTCGAGTAGTCCTCACAGGTCACGCTGACGCTTCTTGGGCTGACGACCAGGCTCTGCAGTGGTCGTCACAGGGTTACACCTTCAGCCTTGGCTCTGGCTCTGCTTCGTGGCGGTCTACCCATTCGTCTTCTGTTCTCAGCTCTAGCTGTGAGGCTGAGATCTACGCAGTGGCCATGGCTGCATAGGAGCTACGCTGGCTCACCTACCTGCTGACTGACCTATGAGAGCCACCTCGTTCTCCTCCAGTGCTGTACGTAGACAACAAGGCCATGCTGGCCTCGTGTCAGGAGCACAGACTGGAGCACAGAACAAAGCAGATTGCTCTCCGCTACTTCCTGGCTCGTGAGCTAAAGCAGCGTGGTCAGCTCCGTCTCACCTAAGTGGCCTCTGAGGCCAACACTGCTTATATCTTAACCAAGGCCCTTCCGCCTTGTGATCATCAGCGGTTCTGTTCTTTGCTAGGTCTTGTCCCTACCTTGCCTCACTTGCTCACTTCTTGATCTTGTTTGTACTGTACTCTTTCTATACCTGCACTTGCTTGTTTACCTTTATATATATGTTCTTGCATGTGAACCGGCCTTGTGGCCTTTCTCTTCTGCTCAGACTGTGTGGTGACTTTGTGATCCACCGTGAGCATGCTTTGCTTTGCTTGACTGGTCTTGTGACCGCTCGTTCTCCCCCACTTTGCCTATGGGGGTGTGTCAGAACATTATAGCTTATACATTTGTGTAGGCGGTAGTGGGGTAGCCCATAAGGGGTACAACACAATTAGGGTTAGTACTTATATTCAACTGTTTCATAGTTCATTCATCCATTCTCATTTCTCGTCAGCTCGCTGCCTTGCTGAAGGTCAATGGCATTTTGAAGCACGCGTGTGTGCGCTTCAACGACCAGATTGGTAAAATCTACCGATTTTGTCGCCTTTATGCTCTGAGCCTAGAACCATGCGTTTTTATGGGGAGGAAGCGGAACTTCAAGGGAGAGCTAACCCTGCAGGTGCCTGAGGACTTACTCACGAAATGTGCTGACTACGTTGAGCGTTTCGCCGACAGAAAGTTATTGAGGTTTTTTTTTATCGGTTGCATTAATTGGGTTACGTGGCATGTTCTGATGTATGTTTTGGTCCGTTGCAGAGTTCTTGGGGATTCCCTGGCACGTCAACAGGAGAGGCAGTCCGTTTTCCAGCCCTGCCTTCGTTAAGCCTGCTTCTCTGTGGGATTCGAGTGGCGCCTTGCCAATTGGTTTATTTCCTGTTCAGCTGCTTGTCATCCTTGCAGCGGTAAGTTTAACATGAGCACTTTATTTGCCTTTCACATTGTGCAATTTAACAAGTGTTGATTGCTTTTCTTCGTGCAGGTGAGGTTCAAGTTCCGCCATCCCGGCGCCACGAAGGCTCAGTTGGATCGGTCGGGGGATCTTGGTGCTCTTGCCAGGCAGGCGCGGGTTGTACAGCGCTGGATCAGCAGCAGTGACGTCACTCGCACGGACGACTGCCTTGGGATCAGTAAGGTCTGCATCGTTGGTTGGAAGGATATTCCAGAGGAGGAGCTGGTTGCAGACGAGCATGGTGACCTTGGTCTGGATGAGCTAGTCCGCAAGCCAGGCTCGCAGGAGCGGGTTTATGATGAGAATGAAGAGTAGGAGGAGCTTTACGGGTGACCTGTAGTACTTGTGGTAGCTTAGGGCTGTTTTTGTAGGTGTAGATGAGTTTGTAGCTAATGGTAGTTCTTGGATTTGTATCTATGTAAGCTTTTGACCTTTTTAGTGTATTGTCTTCTCTATTTGTTATAATGTAGAATTGTAGGCTGTAGTGAATTTCTAAAAATATCGGTAATTGTTTAGTCACTATCTCTTTATTTTGCTAGTTTACCGTATCTTTACTGTACCTATTGACATTAATGTTTTCGAAACTCGCTGTGTTCATCCCTCCTTAGTATCACATTTTAAATAACGGGGAAACAAATGTAGGATTAAATGAACGAGTCTGAAAGACTCATAACGAGTTTCCTCTTTTAAACGAGTGCGCGTCGGAATGTATTTGGACGGCCCGGCAGCCAATAGAAACAAAGTTGCAACAAATCGTCACGCGCTAGGTGTCCTGTGCGTGTTCGCTCAAATTTCCCGAACCAACTCGGAGGGCTTGGGAGAAATTCTCTGCACCAGTCGATCTCTACTTGTCAGATGTATCGGAAACCAATCGCAATTCGCGGGAAAACGCTAGGAGTCGAAAACCACTCGGCAACAACTCTTTCCCAACAAGTTTCCCACACCCCCCAAATTGGCAATTCTGGGGGACGGCTCTCAGGCCACATGGGGACCCTCGGTCTCCTCCCCCCCCTGGGGAACGGCTCTCAGGCCACACGGGGACCCTCGGTCCCCTTCCCCCCCTTGGGGACGGCTCTCAGGCTACACGGGTAAACAAAAGGAGCGCCAACCCCAAAGGAAGGTCTGCGAGGGTGTGTAAACAAGGTAACAAACACCCTTAGAACATGCAATACGTACTGTCCGATCATGCATCGTGGGGCGTGTCGTGGACAACTGTGTGGCAACATGCAAATAAGGTTATTAGTACAAGAAACTTGAGCCGCACTTACAGGAACCGGAAATGTTGACAAATTCTTCGCAAACTTCGCGGCAAGTGTCTTGTTGGTAGGAGAGAGAGCGTTGTACTTGTTCATTATGAATCGCTGCTCCCAAACATTCCGCAACTTGCTGACCTTGGAGAGGTCATCAAGGTCTTCCTTGCGGACGTAGCAGAGCGAACAAAGGCGCTGGCTGTTGTGCTGAAACGTGCAAGATACCTTGCACGTTTCCAGGTAATCCCCGGCAACGCAATATAGTAATGGCCACACAGTCCTGAGATCACCGTACGGGTCCGACCATGTGCACCCCGTTGGACTGCATGGATCAGGTGGATGAACGAGTAGTTAGTGTCGCTCACTCAACAAGCAGCTCTGAAAAAAGAAGTTGCGGAACCCCTCGTACCTGCTGGAGGCATCAAGGAGTGGCTGAAGAATGATCTGCATACACGCTTGATAGAGTTGGGTCTTCACATGGCTACTCCATGTCGAGCGTGGCATTGGCAACATAGCCACCATCTGTTTAGCACTCGGCTTCCAACGGTGCTCAACAGCAATATTACCCAATGTTAAGACCACAGGCCACACCTTCTGCGTGTCGTTTTTTGACAACTGGGTGACGTCGGAATACACTATAAGGGCGGCAGCGACCTCATCAGAGTAACCAAGAGCACGCTGCCACGCAGACAGTGTATGCCAGTCAAGGTTTGTGAACAAAGCAGAGAACATGTGGTGGTAAAAGATACCACTAGCAGGCAGGAACATACCTGTGCCTCCAACCACCAGTCACAATGCTGAGGTCGAGTGTACACACGTTTGTTGTTAACCTTCTTTTCACCCGGAAACAAGGCAAACCCCGGCTGGTTCTTGATATCTTAAAAAATAGCTTGTGCAATCTGGCCACGTCAAAGGCAGGCGCAACATAAGACATGCCCATTCAGGAAGGAACATCTGTTGTGTATACATACCATGGTTGAAACAAAAGTTGGTAGGAACACCGAGGGTAAGAACAGTGGCGCGTATGCAGCAAAGGAGGGTAGTAACAGAGGAGGGTGGGACCAGTGGAGGGTAGGAACAGAGGAGGGTAGGACCAATGGAGGGTAGGAACAGAGGAGGGTAGGACCAGTGCAGGGTAGGAACAGAGGAGGGTAGGACCAGTGGAGGGTAGTAACAGAGGAGGGTAGGACCAGTGGAGGGTAGGGAACTGAATGGGTGGGAACAGAGGAGGGTACGGAACAGAGGGGGTAGGGAACGGAAGGGGTGTGAACAGAGGAGGGTTTGAAGAGTGGAGGGTAGGAGCAGAGGGGGGTAGGGAACAGAACCGGGTATGGAACAGAGGGGGTAGGGAACTGAATGGGTGGGAACAGAGGAGGGTACGGAACAGAGGGGGTAGGGAACGGAAGGGGTGTGAACAGAGGAGGGTTTGAAGAGTGGAGGGTAGGAGCAGAGGGGGGTAGGGAACAGAACCGGGTACGGAACAGAGGGGGTAAGGAACTGAATGGGTGGGAACAGAGGAGGGTACGGAACAGAGGGGGTAGGGAACGGAAGGGGTGTGAACAGAGGAGGGTTTGAAGAGTGGAGGGTAGGAGCAGAGGGGGATAGGGAACAGAACCGGGTACAGAACAGAGGGGGTAGGGAACTGAATGGGTGGGAACAGAGGAGGGTACGGAACAGAGGGGGTAGGGAACAAAAGGGGTGTGAACAGAGGAGGGTTTGAAGAGTGGAGGGTAGGAGCAGAGGGGGGTAGGGAACAGATGAGGGTACGGAACAGAGGGGGTAAGGAACTGAATGGGTGGGAACAGAGGAGGGTACGGAACAGAGGGGGTAGGGAACGGAAGGGGTGTGAACAGAGGAGGGTTTGAAGAGTGGAGGGTAGGAGCAGAGGGGGGCAGGGAATAGATGAGGGTACGGAACAGAGGAGGTAGGGAACTGAATGGGTGGGAACAGAGGAGGGTATGGAACAGAGGGGGTAGGGAACGGAAAAGGTGTGAACAGAGGAGGGTTTGAAGACTGGAGGGTAGGAGCAGAGGGGGGGTAGGGAACAGATGAGGGTACGGAACAGAGGGGGGTAGGGAACTGAATGGGTGGGAACAGAGGAGGTTACGGAACAGAGGGGGTAGGGAACAAAAGGGGTGTGAACAGAGGAGGGTTTGAAGAGTGGAGGGTAGGAGCAGAGGGGGGTAGGGAACAGAACCGGGTACGGAACAGAGGGGGTAGGGAACTGAATGGGTGGGAACAGAGGAGGGTACGGAACAGAGGGGGTAGGGAACGGAAGGGGTGTGAACAGAGGAGGGTTTGAAGAGTGGAGGGTAGGAGCAGAGGGGGGTAGGGAACAGAACCGAGTACGGAACAGAGAGGGTAGGGAACTGAATGGGTGGGAACAGAGGAGGGTACGGAACAGAGGGGGTAGGGAACGGAAGGGGTGTGAACAGAGGAGGGTTTGAAGAGTGGAGGGTAGGAGCAGAGGGGGGTAGGGAACAGATGAGGGTACGGAACAGAGGGGGTAAGGAACTGAATGGGTGGGAACAGAGGAGGGTACGGAACAGAGGGGGTAGGGAACGGAAGGGGTGTGAACAGAGGAGGGTTTGAAGATTGGAGGGTAGGAGCAGAGGGGGGTAGGGAATAGATGAGGGTACGGAACAGAGGAGTTAGGGAACTGAATGGGTGGGAACAGAGGAGGTATGGAACAGAGGGGGTAGGGAACGGAAAAGGTGTGAACAGAGGAGGGTTTGAAGAGTGGAGGGTAGGAGCAGAGGGGGGTAGGGAACAGATGAGGGTACGGAACAGAGGGGGGTAGGGAACTGAATGGGTGGGAACAGAGGAGGTTACGGAACAGAGGGGGTAGGGAACGGAAGGGGTGTGAACAGAGGAGGGTTTGAAGAGTGGAGGGTAGGAGCAGAGGGGGGTAGGGAACAGAACCGGGTATGGAACAGAGGGGGTAGGGAACTGAATGGGTGGGAACAGAGGAGGGTACGGAACAGAGGGGGTAGGGAACAAAAGGGGTGTGAACAGAGGAGGGTTTGAAGAGTGGAGGGTAGGAGCAGAGGGGGGTAGGGAACAGAACCGGGTACGGAACAGAGGGGGTAGGGAACTGAATGGGTGGGAACAGAGGAGGGTACGGAACAGAGGGGGCATTCGAACAGAATGGGCGGGAACAGAGGAGGGTAGGACCAGTGGAGGGTAGTAACAGAGGAGGGTAGGACCAGTGGAGGGTAGTGACAGAGGAGGGTAGGACCAGTGGAGGGTAGGGAACAGAGGGGGTAGGGAACAAAAGGGGTGTGAACAGAGGAGGGTTTGAAGAGTGGAGGGTAGGAGCAGAGGGGTGTAGGGAACAGATGACGGTACGGAACAGAGGGGGTAGGGAACTGAATGGGTGGGAACAGAGGAGGGTACGGAACAGAAGGGGTAGGGAACAATAGGGGTGTGAACAGAGGAGGGTGTGAAGAGTAGAGGGTAGGAGCAGAGGGGGGTAGGGAACAGATGAGGGTACGGAACCGAGGGGGTAAGGAACTGAATGGGTGGGAACAGAGGAGGGTACGGAACAGAGGGGGCATTCGAACAGAATGGGTGGGAACAGAGGAGGGTACGGAGGGTATGGTTATGAAGGATACAGAAGTCTCACTTTGAGAGTGTTTGCATGCTTGAGCGACACGAGAAGGGGCCGTCCGTTCTCCATAACACCGGGAACCTCAACCATTGTCGTTGTCCACTCGGAAGCCTTCTCTCCCCATTGGTCCGCTGCCCATTTTTGAGAGTCTTTGATGCTTCTCCATCCAGCCAATTCTTCAGGTCGAAGCTCGGGATGCGACATCACGGTCAGAAACCGTTTGCTTTGCTCTACTGTCATCCCTTGACCCTCGTTGAACGACTGCGTGAGAAGCATAACCTCCTTACGGGTGTCGAAACTCGGTTCGGGTAGCCATATGGTACGTGGTACGGCCATTTCGTCAGCATCGAGCTCTTCCGCATCGAGCTCGTCATCAACATCTGGTGCAGCGCTTGCCGGAACGGGCGGCGGATCTGGCAACTGCTCTTCCGTTGTGGGCTGTGCTATGACCGGCTCATGCGCTACGGTTCTCCTACGCTTGGCATTGCAACATGACGGTACCGGGTTTTTAACGATGTCGCCATTTTTGTCGAGATGGTATGGGTCTCGAGAGTACCCCGCATCCTTGTAGCGCGCCTGTTCTATGCGACAATGCAGGCTCGATGCTTGATGTACGGATAGAAGTCGATAGGTGCCAATGAACACAGCGCATCATTCGCACAAGATGACGCTCAATATGAGTATCCTCACCGCTCTACCAACAGCCATTGTGTGCCTAAACTGTGGAATAGGCATGGAAGAGGCATTTTATACTCTGGAGGAGCTATGTGATCGGCCCTACGTGGAATACACTCGTGTCGCACGTACTGACGATGCGCCCTTGACTAGAACGTCGCCCTTGAATGGCCTACCGACGCGTCGCATTCGATCGTGGGCAATGGTCTTTACTTGGACTCAACTAGGATGAAGTTCGAAATTCAAACCGTGGAACTCGGCTACGCAGTGATCGACTGTCCGCGCCACTGTACAACCTCCAATGTTTAACGAGTCAAAAACTCGGTTTGAACCAAATTGCACTATGAATATACTAATGTGCAACACACTTAGAACTAAGTTGGACTTGTGTGTCAGAACTTATATTTGTAACTGCATGTAACTGTAGTTAGTGTAGTTATTATAAACATTGTTTGGTGGTGCACCTTCTTTGTTTCCTTTGCTATATGTTCGTTGCAACCTATAGTGAAACATTTCTTCCTTTCCAACTTTCTCAACTCTCACCCTTGGCACAACCTACTCGACATCTTAGTTGGGTTTAGGCTCCTAAGCCTAGGCCCTAGTTAAACTTGATCATTCTCGTTCCAGTTTTGATATGCTATCAGAGCGAGTTACGTCCTGGCCTGTGGGCCCGCCTCATGCTTCCGCTGCTACGTTTTTCCGGTCGCGTGCCTAGGGCGCGTGGCGATTTTCTATTGTCCCGCCCCCGGTTGGCGAGTGACTCCCACTCTGCCCGTCGCGCACCTCGTGGCACGCGACGGTGCCCTAAACCTGCCCGTCATGCACCCCGTGGCACGCAACGGTGCCCTGCTCGTCGTGCGCCCCGAGGCACACGACGGTGCCCTTACCTTAAACTTACCCGTCGTGCACCCCGTGGCATGCGACGGGCCTCTCCGCACCTGCTCTCCCTGCAGCCGCCCCTGACCTACGTGCGCCGACACATTGTAGCCGCTCTGCGGCTTTCTTCCCGCCCGCCCCCTCCTCCTTTGTCTCCCTGCAGCCGTGGGGGGGAGGGTATGGGGGTGGCGGGTGTTGGAGCGTTGGGTCGTATCCTTCCCTTCCCCTCCTCCTCCTTTCGTTCCCACTGCTGCAGCTGCCGCTGGGGGGGAGGGTGTGAGGGTGTGGGGGAGAAGGGGGAATGGCACCGGGGTGGCGGGTGTGAGGCAACCAGCAGCCGTCCCTCCACCTCTCCTCTCTTCCCCCCCTCTCTGCTGCTCCTGCAGCAGTGTGGGGGAGGGGAAGGAGGAGGGTGAGGAGATGGAGGGGGTGACCAGCTAGTGTTAGCCCGCCTGCAGTACCTGCTGTTGCTTGTTTATTATTTTGCATGTGTACCCCTACAGGTTGTATTCTGCACAAACTCCTGTTGCAGGCAGTTATGGGGGAGTGTCAGAACTTATATTTGTAACTGCCTGTAGCTGTAGTTAGTGTAGTTATTATAAACATTGTTTGGTGGTGCACCTTCTTTGTTTCCTTTGCTATATGTTCTTTGCAACCTATAGTGAAACATTTCTTCCTTTCCAACTTTCTCGACTCTCACCCTTGGCACAACCTACTCGACATCTTAGTTGGGCCTAGGCTCCTAAGCCTAGGCCCTAGTTAAACTTGATCATTCTCGTTCCAGTTTTGATATTGTGCATTGGTCTAACGTTGCAAAACCGGGAAATTACACTACGTTGCACAACGAGTTAAAAATACAAACGGTGCACCTTATAGCTAATTGTGCCATGACTGGGTATCCTTGAACAGATTCAAGTCGTTCGGAGCACTGATGCATGTTTACCTTGCCAAAGCAGTTGCGAATGATCTCAGACCAGGATGGTCACATCTAGGTACATAGGAGAGGCTCTTGGTACAAAGAAACGGGAGTTAAACATGCAAACAGAGCACTTTATAGCTGATTGTGCCATGTCCGGCTATCCTTGAACAGATTCAAGCCATTCGGCCCACTGACGCATGTTTACCTAGACAAAGCAGCTGCGAATGATCTCAAACCAGGACGGTCTCACCTAGGTACATAGGAGAGGCTCTTGGTACAAAGAAACGGGAGTTAAACATGCAAATAGAGCACTTTATAGCTGATTGTGCCATGACTGGCTATCCTTGAACAGATTCAAGCCGTTCGGCGCACTGACGCATGTTCACCTAGCCAAAGCAGCTGCGAATGATCTCAAACCAGGATGGTCTCATCTAGGTACATAGGAGAGGCTCTTGGTACAAAGAAACGGGAGTTAAACATGCAAATAGAGCACTTTCTAGCTGATTGTGCCATGACTGGCTATCCTTGAACAGATTCAAGCCGTTCGGCGCACTGACGCATGTTTACCTAGCCAAAGCAGCTGCGAATGATCTCAGACCAAGATAGTATCATCTAGGTACATAGGAGAGGCTCTTGGTACAAAGAAACGGGAGTTAAACATGCAAACAGGGATGACTGGCTATCCTTGTGCTAGGAGGGCACTTAATCGCAGTGAGTGGCATGACTGTCTTTCCTTGAACAGGCAGTGAGTGGCATGACTATCTTTCCTTGAACAGCTTTGACGCGTTCCGTGCACTGGGTGCTCACATCGTTCGCAACTGCTTTATATAGGTAGACAAGCGTCAGTTCGCAAAACGGGACAAATATTTTTAACGATAGCCAATCCTATTACCGTCAACAGCTTATCGCGCTGCTTGTATTATTCTCAATTCTTGTAACCATTAACCCTCCAAATGTATCTAGGTGAGACTGTCTGGTGCTCACATTAGAAAGGCAATTTTGCTGCTGACAGTCACTACAGATGGCATTGCTATCACTTGCCATTGCACAATTTTGATCGTGTGCAATTTCCATTATAATGCTGCATGTGTATAGCTGGGATACGTTGTATGCATAAAGATATTGTACCAGGGTGCACACTGGTGTTTAGGTGTGTATCGATTGCCACTGTCATGCTCTTGTTGTAGTGCGTGCATTTGGGTACAGTCCATATGTAAAATCTTGTCGCCATATCGTCACACACTCATTTGATTGGTCCTTGTCTGAGTCAATTGCGTGAATGAAGGGAGGTAAGAAGCATCACCCCCGTCGCGCATCGCGGGCACGATCAGCTGCATCGCGAAGCAAGGATGCGGCAGTTGGTGGGTGTAAGCTGGCGTTTAGTGGACTGATTGAACAGTGCGCCAAAATGACAGCTCAGAAATGCAACTGTTACAAAGCAACTTACCTATTCCTGGTCATTGCAGGTTGGTTTTCCGAAAATGGGAATTCGTTCGCCACAGCGCTTTGCTATGGCATCAAGCAAGCACAGAGCACTTTTTCTAACTCTGACGCGCGAGCCCATTGCTTCTTGGTCTCATTCTCCCCCTCGTAAGTCATACAACCTTGGCCGCACCACTTTTAGCTGAGTTCGTATTTTTGAACTGTAAAAGCAACACGAAGAGCCAGCATCTAAGCCAAGCCAAGTTGCCGCGGCATCTGAGGACGAGGAATGCGAGGCTAATGCGATCTTAGGCGAGATTGTGGCGCAAGACGACTTCGACGATACTGAAGAGGATGCAAACGACACGACACGTAATGACAACGGCGCGGGCAAATCAGGGGGTAAGTCAACTATCTTATGGCACCTCCTTCCGCCATGTCCCACCACCTCTGAATGGTGTGGCCCATCTAATTATCCATAACGGTCCATTTTTGCTTGCATGAGCGCGATCTGCCGTCGCATTCATGTTTACCTCGCATCTTATCTTTGGTTCGTACTTGACACCCACGAGTAACTAGTCGTTTTACACTCACTGTTGCCGGTGCCCCTAAAACAACGTCTGTGGCTGCAATAAACGAAGAGGAAGAGCGTACAAAACGACTGGAACGCGCGGAGGAGAGCCCTTTGGGCGCCATTAACAGGTCTTCACCCCTGGGCAACCCGCCTCTGTCGACTCGCCAGGGCGCTGAAGAGAGCGAGATTGAGGCGTTGAAGCGACAGCTTCGGGAGCGTAACTTACAGTATGAACGTCTGCAGCAGCAGATGGACAGAGGGGGCGGAGGCTCATGCGAAGAGCGAGGTTCCGCTAGAAACGTGTGTGTGGCACACGACAATGTTAGTCGGGAAAAACAGATGGCGGTTCCGCGAACACCGCCTGCTGCTCCTCGTGTAGCACCGGCCACTCAACGCCCGTCATCTCTAATCTCCAGTCGTGACCCGGAGGACGTTGAAGGGCGTCCTGGTCCAAACGGCAAGCGCAAGCGCAACTTCCCTGTGGTTGGGGACAGCAAGCACCGTCGCCTGCAGCTATATGCACCGGGTGATGCCATTCCAAGGAGAGACCAGGAGCTCATGTGCAAGCTTCCAGCCAACGGAAAACCACGGGCTGTGAGTGAAAATGTTCCCCATGCTTGTGTGTATGTCTTTGTTCCTCTGGCTTTGCAAAGCATTGGCTCCTTGCATACATACATGCTTCTTTGGTCTTCCCATGTATGCTTGTCCAACCTTCAGATTTTCTATATGTGACTTATTCCACACCCCTTACTCATCAGAAGAAGATGGAAACGGCAGTGCAAATTGCTTTGTTCTACCAGCCCAACGACCGGACGACTATGTATCTCTTGGACTGGCTCATAACAGAGTGCTTGATCTTCGTGTGGGGTGAGGACCTTTGTGATGCAGTGGTCTCCGTGATGACGTATTGCACGACACGTGCAGGTGTGGCAAAGCGGAAGCTGAATGATTGGCGAGGTCGCTTGTCGATGCATGCGCGGAAAGTGTTTTGCGATGCGTTCGGCCTCGCGTGCGAGGCAAATCCGCGGCTCAAATACGCTTACGACGAGCTTGTCAGTGATGAGCAGCTGACTTTGAAGGACGTGTTTGATCTGGAAGGCGTGAAGCCCCTCGGTATGTATGCGACTTGCCCTGAACCCTCAATCGCACTCACCGATCCCCTCTGTCCCTCATTTTCTCCTCTCCATTCCCTTTGCCCATCACTCCATTCCCTCTGTCCCTCCTTTGCTCCTCTCCATTCCCTTTGCCCATCACTCCAATCCCTCTGTCCCTCCTCTTCTCCTCCGCTGCTCCTTCCATGCCCATCACTCCCCCTCGCATCCCATTATTTGGCAGTCAAAGGTGGACTGCTGCGATGGCATGTGGATGACGAGCTGAACCGCCCTTTTGCAACGGGGCTGTTTGATATCATCATTCGTAATGCGTTTCAGAAGGGTGTTGGTGGTTCTGCGACTGTCATCAAGGCTTTCCACATTGCATACGTTCTGTATTTGGTAAGCCCCCAAATCCACACATGAGCACTCATGCGCTGCTGTTATATATTCTCCTCTTTGCTCACCTCTATCTTGATTTTTGTTGTACTCATAGTTCCCATCTTCTCCTTATTCAGGTACCCCTTTCCCTATACCCACAACTTCCCTTTTCCCTTCCTCCCAACCCCACGTATGTGCCTCTGTTGCCCCTTGTGCAGGCGCAGTCACTCCAGGCCTTCCGCTCACCTCCTCCTCACCCTCTTCCCTTCCTCCCAACCCCACCTGTGTGCCTCTGTTGCCCCTTGTGCAGTGGCAGTCACTCCAGGCCTTCCGCTCACCTCATCCTCATCCTTTACCCTTCCTCCCAACCCCACCTATGTGCCTCTGTTGCCCCTTATGCAGTGGCAGTCACTCCAGGCCTTCCGCTCACCTCATCCTCGCCCTCTACCCTTCTCCCAACCCTACCTATGTGCCTCTGTTGCCCCTTGTGCAGGGGCAGTCACTCCAGGCCTTCCGCTCACCTCATCCTCGCCCTCTACCCTTCCTCCAAACCCTACCTATGTGCCTCTGTTGCCCCTTATGCAGTGGCAGTCACTCCAGGCCTTCCGCTCACCTCATCCTCGCCCTCTACCCTTCTCCCAACCCTACCTATGTGCCTCTGTTGCCCCTTATGCAGTGGCAGTCACTCCAGGCCTTCCGCTCACCTCATCCTCATCCTTTACCCTTCCTCCCAACCCCACCTATGTGCCTCTGTTGCCCCTTATGCAGTGGCAGTCACTCCAGGCCTTCCGCTCACCTCATCCTCGCCCTCTACCCTTCTCCCAACCCTACCTATGTGCCTCTGTTGCCCCTTGTGCAAGGGCAGTCACTCCAGGCCTTCCGCTCACCTCATCCTCGCCCTCTACCCTTCCTCCCAACCCCACCTATGTGCCTCTGTTGCCCCTTATGCAGTGGCAGTCACTCCAGGCCTTCCGCTCACCTCATCCTCGCCCTCTATCCTTCCTCCCAACCCCACCTATGTGCCTCTGTTGCCCCTTATGCAGTGGCAGTCACTCCAGGCCTTCCGCTCACCTCATCCTCGCCCTCTACCCTTCCTCCCAACCCCACCTATGTGCCTCTGTTGCCCCTTTTGCAGTGGCAGTCACTCCAGGCCTTCCGCTCACCTCATCCTCGCCCTCTGCCCTTCCTCCCAACTCGACCTATGTGCCTCTGTTGCCCCTTTTGCAGTGCGTCAACCACGACCAGATCCTTTCGCTTCACAGGAAGGTGAAGGCGGCGATCAAGAAGTATCTGGATGACACTCCTGACGACCAGCTGTCGTCTTGGGATGCGGATCACCAGAGATGGGTATTCGGACCGACGGGCAACGTTGTCATCTCGGGCAGCGGCTTTCCGAATCACATCCCCGACGGCGCAGATCCTGACAAGAGGGACAAGGAGGAGGCGGAGATCCTGGTGAAGTATTGCAGGATGCAGGCCGACAAGATTGAGGCCAAGAGAGGTTGTCAGGCGCAGGGTGATGGTCGTGATGACGAGGATAACGAGGTAGGCAATTGGATGGATGAAGGGGATGATGAGTATTGAGCGCATGGGTTATGTGGTGGTGTATTGGTGATGATGATTGCCATGTGGCAATAATGTGCTTATTTGAGCACAGTGTAGTACGGTAGGGTAGGTGGTAGGAATGTATTGTAGGTTCAATAATGGATTTTGGCAAATGGAATAAATACCTTTCAATGGTCGCTGGTATTGTAACTGGTTGCCGAAAGCATACGAATAAGACGCTGGGAATGATAAACATACAAAAACCAGAAACATATTGTTTATATAAGAAAATGGTACTATGTGTCCAACAAAAACATGTCTAAACTTCAATAGAAACAGATACAATCAGGAAATCTAAAACATACCTAGTGCCTACTGTTTGGAGAACACTGATTCATACCATATGGAAACCATGAAGGTATTGAAAGGCTACTAATTGGCGTTTACTATTTGCATACTGTTTACTTGCTATTTTGCTACTATTTGCGCACTACTGTTTAGTATCTAAATGGACCATACCAAATACCTACGACGCATGCTACTTTATGGTACCCGTAATGACCCATAATTTTTGCATACTGTAGGGTATGTTGCTACTATATGTACCGTATGTAAACAATTCATGATTTTTGAGATGCCCTGGGGGACGGCTCTCAGGCCACACGAGGACCCTCGGTCCCCTTCCCCCCCTGGGGGACGGCTCTCAGGCCACACGAGGGCCCTCCGTCCCCTCCCCCCCCTGGGGGACGGTTCTCAGGCCACACGGGGAGACCCTCAGTCCGCTCTTTCTCATCGGGAGACGTCCTTCGCTACTCGTGCAGTTTGATACTGTCGTCAATAAAATTCTCCCGCGCGACTAGTGGAGTCTTTATAAAAATCTTTCCACAACTGTGGTGTTGAGCCTAATTTTCTGCCACCAAGGGATAAGAGGAGCATGGAGATCAATAGAAGGTATACAAAGAGAACATAGCAAGAAGAAAACTTAAGCAACAAATGAATTGCATCACTTAGGCAACAAATGACACCCAGTCAAACGACTTAGGGCGTGTGCACTAGAGCTTGATATTGTGAAAATCGAACTTTGAAATCGAACTGCCGTCATTGTTGTTATTTGAACACCCGGGATTCGAACTCGTGGCTTTTGGCACGAAGTCTTGTAAAAATTGCTTGGGCACTCAAAAGTAACACACTTCAAGGTTCGGACATGTCGTCGCACACGTAAATATTGTACAGTATTGTCATCATCGCAAGAAATCCGATTGGGTTAAATCGGACACGTCAGCACGTCGTGAGCGTCGCAACATCGCACAAGTTGGAGCTCGAACCATGCTCTGGAGGCTGTTCAAATGTGGCTGGGAACTCAGAATTCGAACACGTCAAAGTCGAAAGTGTTAACATATTCAAAAATTCCTCGTGAAGCTAATTTGCGAGATGTACGCAGTCAGGTTACCAACTGAGTTCGAACATTTTTGAACGCTAGTGCACACGCCCTAAGGCACTGCAGTGTAGTTTCGTCACTGCCGCGCCATCGGCCATTTTGTCCCTGGAGCGCTAGTGGCGATTTCGCCACTGACGCACGTGGCGTGTGGTGATTTCGTCCCTGGCGCGCGCCACTTGCGCCAGTGGCGATTTCGTCCCAATCGCCTGCCACCGGCGCCAGTGGCGATTTCGTCCCGAGCGCGAGCCACTCGCGCCAGTGGCGATTTCGTCCCTAGCGTAAGCCACTGGCGCCAGTGGTGATTTCGTCCCTAGCGCGAGCCACTGGCGCCAGTGGCGATTTCGTCACTAGTGCGTGCCACTGGCGATTTCGTCTTTGGCGCGTCTGTTGGCGTTTTGTCCGGTGCACTTAACGCTCAGTTGAGCGCCCGCCAAGTGCAGTCGCACGCTTGATAGTGCTGTCCTTCATGGAAAATCGAGCGCATGAGTTGTCGTGTAAGTGAGTCTTAGCGTAATACGTGTTCTAAGGGCGTGTCCGGAGTGACATGTCAACGGATGTCGATGGATGTCGACGGATGTCAGGGTGGTAGGTGAGATTTTTCAGGCCGGCATTGTGTCCGAAGTGATCTGACATCCATCCGACATCCATCCGCCATCCAACTCTGTGTAATCATTACAGACAAAGGGTGCCGCCAACAGTGACCTCGGGCTGGTCAATGTGGCGGTTGACGAACCAAATTATTGATAACAAAATTTGAGGGGGAACCATGACGAAATTATTTCTGGGCAAGCGACAGCCCTTCGTAACTTGTACGGGGTGACGAAAGAAGTTTGCGAAATTCGTAACTCAAAATTGAACCTTCAATATTCTCTCTGGTCTGCCCTTGCCGGCGCCAGCAGTGCTGGCCTGCATTTTTTGGGGCAGTTATGTCGCCGGCATTGTGTCAGAAGTGCCTCGACATCCATCTGACATCCATCTGTCATCCCCTGTCATTCGCCACCGTCATCCATTGGATGACGGATGGATGACGGTCGGATGTCGAGGGTCACTTCGCACCCGCCCTAATGACTCAGGAAACCTTTGAGGTGGTTGGATGAAAATGGGGTGGAACTGCAAGTTCCGAAATGAAGTCGTGGGTGGAGGCTGAATGGCCTTCAACCCTCATTATGTACTCGGCGAATTGTAATCCGTTGTTGATTTGCTTCGTTATAGGCAGTTGCGCTTCCACAATACGCACTTTTAGAAAGTACACACTTTCGAAAAAATTCATGATGTTGAAACTTCTCAATAACTCTCTCAATGTCCAACTCTTCTTTCTTCCAAACATAGCTCGCTCAATCCCTCTTGGCCACCTTTTGCAACCAAACTACGTACACGTAGAACTCCTTATGCCTTGCACATCCCACCACGCTTAATCCCACATGCCTCTTCCGAGTCCTGACCCAAACTCCACCAGGGCCTAATGCCTCTTACAGCCTGATTTACTACCCCCCACCCCACCCCCCCCAACCCTACCCCCCTCTTCCCCCTCACCCCTCGTCTCTTTCCCCTCCCTCCCCCCCCCCCCCCCTCCCCCCAACTTCCCCCTCTCCCTCGCTCGTTACCGAGTCCAGCTTCCCAGTCCCTTGCACCTCTCCCTACTCAACTCCCTCAGTCCCTCGCTTATCTCCCTGCCAAAATCCCATAATACCACATGCTTACTACAAAGTCACAGACACCCGCCACCCTCTCCCCCCCTCTTCTCTCCCTCCTCTTCACTTCACTGCCCCCCCTCCGACTGCTTTGCACCTCTCCCAGTCAACTCGCAATGTCACATACGGTGCGCCTCTCGCAAGCAACCCCTAGATCCCCATTCGTACCATTTCTGCAACCCAACCCATTGTTCGCACCTCTCACCACTCACCAGCTAGTAGGCAATCTTGCCCTTGTATTGCAACCCACCCAACGTCCTCCATTCTCTGAACATTGTCAACGGGAGCCGACATAGGGGTTGGGTGTACAAGAAGTGCAGCCGACTTGCAGCAGTGGGCGACGCCGACTTGGGCGAGCTCGTCGACGGGTTTGGTCGACCTGCACGGGGCCACTACAATGTTGCCGACTTGCGAGGTCGCCGACTTGGGAGGTCACCGACTTGGGAAGTCGCCGACTTCAAGAGGTCGACCAGGAAGTCGGTGCCGACTTAGAAGGGGCGTCGACTTGGTGACGCTGACCTGGGGTGTCAGAAACTAACGAGCAGCAATGACTGCATTGAATGAAATGTGGGTACAAGTACTAACCCTAACTTTGGGTTGTACTCCATATGGGCAACCCCACTATAGCCTACACAGAACTAACAAATATATAGTTTGACACACCCCCATAGGAAAAGTGGGGGAGAACAAGGGGTCACAAGACCAGACAAGAAAAGAAAAGCAAGCCCTGGGGGGATCAGAACGTCACCACACACTCTTAGCACAAGCAAAGGGCCACAAGGCCAGTTCACATACAAAGGTATATATGCAACAACAATAGTACAGTGATTACTACCTAGCAGGAGTAGGCATGTAGATATATAATATAGATCACAGTACAAACAAAGTCAGGAAGTAAGCAAGTGAGCAAACACATGCACCATGCCTAGAGCAGTGCAGAAGCGCTGATGGTCACTAGACGAAAGTGCCTTGGTAAACACATCAGCAGTGTTGGCCCGAGTGGCCATGTAAGCAACACGAAGCAGACCACGCTGTTGCAACTCTCGAGTGAGGAAGTAACACAGAGCTAAGTGCTTCGTTGTGTGCTCCAGTCTGTGCTCATAACACAAGGTAATAGCAGCCTTGTTGTCTACGTACAGAACTGGAGGAGAACGAGGCCTCTCTCCCAAGTCGGTCAGCAGGTAGGTGAGCCAGCGTAACTCCTGTGCAGCCATGGCTGTCGCGTAGATCTCAGCCTCACACCTGGAGCTGAGAACAAAAGACGAGCGGGTAGACCGCCAAGAAACAGATTTGGAGCCAAGGCTGAACGTGTAACCCTGTGACGACCGCTGCGTAGCCTGATCGTTAACCCAAGAAGCGTCTGATTGTCTAGTAGAGACAATTGCACCCCGCCCTCCAAGCACGAGCCCCATGCCTGATGTTCTGCACAAGTAGCGCAATACCCTCTTTGCAGCATCCCATTGCACCTTTCGGTGTCTACTAGGAGCCACGTAATGTGCCAAAAGGTCAAGAGGGTACGCAAGGTCAGGACGAGTCCACGTCATAAAAAAACATGAGGCAACGCACTAGCTCTGGATACGGGCCACTCGGCTCTACGGACTCGTCTGAAGGTGGAGCTGAGAGCGAGTGACCGGTAGCCAAAGGAGTGGACTGTGGCGAGGACCAAGTGAAGCCGAAGCGCCAAAGGACCTGCTGCACCATGTGTGACTTAGTCAGGGTGATGGTGCGGCGTGCTCTGTCCCGGGTGATCTGCAAGCCAAGCTCACCAAGGTCCGTGCACGTGTGTCTCTTCTACAGCTCCGACTTCACAAGGGCGAGTGCCTCAGTGTCAGCAGTGGCAAAGACCAAGTCGTCAACGTACACGAGGATGTAGAACGGTGACAGCGAGGTGTCGGTGCGTAGAAACAGCG